CTCGGCTCGGGCCGCAGCCGGGGAGAGGCGCGGCCGTTCCCCCTCCTCCTCCCCCTCCTCCTCCTCCTCCTCCTCCTCCTCCTCCTCCCCCTCCTCCTCCTCCTCCTCCTCCTCCTCCTCCTCCTCCTCCTCCTCCCTCAAGCACTCTGGCCCGAGCCATTTTGGCAGGGGCCAGTCCTCGGGGCTTCCACGCAGCGCTTGAGGGATCCAGGATAGGCGAGCGAGACCAGCTAGCCCAGTCCTGCGACCAACACCGAGGATAGGTAACATCCTCCGCTCGCCGCCATGACGCCGCCTGTGCAGTCCAAAGCTCTGTGGACACGGTGCAGCTGTGGTCGGTGCGAGTGGAACTCAGTTCTAGTCATGAACAAGTATGTGTGCAACAATTGTGGATGCAAGGCGCAGCTCTACAAGCCTCGTCGGCGTGCCGTGTCTTTCGACCGCTCCATCGACGACGAGGGGGAGCTCCAAGACTGCCTCGAGCCCGAAGAGAACACCTCCTCCCAGCGGGCCCGTGGCCAGGGCATCCTGAAGCCAGCCAGCCGCAGCAACTCACCAGGGCTTCGACGCCGTGCAGGAGGATCTGATGAGGTGACGGATCTCCTGCAGAAGGCTATCCTGGCGACGGAGGATCAGAACCTGCAGGGCACGCTGAAGCAGCAGCTCCAGCGCCTGAGCAAGGACGCCGCCGCCGCCGTGACGGTGACGAGCCCCGTGGAGACCCTGCGCCTGGCCGATGGAGCGTTTCGCAATGCATCACATTTACATGAGCAAGCAGTGGCCTCTGTTCTCCGCCTTAGGGCGAGCTTGAAGGCGGCGGAGGAGAAGGAGACGATGGCAGCGTACAGGTTAGCAGAGGCCAAGGAGGCCAAGGTCAATGCGGCCCAGGCTCTGGCCGTGGCAGAGGGCGTTCACCCATCGCAGCCAGACTCGAGCGCCACGCCAGAGGGACCAATGTGTAAGGTTGAGTGGGATCAAAGTTTCTTCGACAATTTGTCGGACATGGGGGTAACGGAGACGGAGCGCAAGGCGCTCGAGCAGCTCCAGAAGGACCTCACCGCTACCAAGTCCGCTCTCGAGGGCAAGAGCTCCGAGGTGAAGGAGTGGTTCGAACAAGCGCGTGCGCATCAGAAGGCCATCCTGGAGAGGACGGCGAAGAAGCGCAAGTCGACAACGGGCGAGGCCGTGCCAGGTGCGATCACGCCAGACGCCACCTCCGCGACACCTTCGCAGGAGATGGAGCAGGCAGAGAGCACCTCCGACGCCACCGAGCCGAAGGCGCCCACCGAGAGCATGGAGCAGCGCAAGCAGCGGCTCCAGGAGGAGGCGAAGAAGTTGTCGGATGCGAAGTTTCAGGCGCAGCAGGCGGCCTCCAAGGCGAAGGGCGCGGGCTCGGCGCTCACGGCGGCCACCAACGGGTTAGAAGTGCCATTATGACAAACGACGGCAGGCGCTCCTCAGGCCTGCGGCGACGACACTGAAGACGCTGAGACCCACATGTTCGTGGCGAACGTAACGGAGCTCAGTGACAAGGTGTGGAACTACATCCAGCACCACAGTACAGAGTACCAGTTTTGGGGTTTGTTGGAAAACCATGTGCACGAGAAGGGAGAATTACAAAAATGCGACGAGAGGACCAGAAAGCTGAAGCTCCGATTGTACCACAATCCTGCCAGGCCGTCTGGGAAGATCGTCGCGACCAATAGGCAGCACAGGTCGAATGAGGGTGGAGAAATGTTCTTGGGAAGGAAACATTTACAGGCCCACCTCCTTCCTGAAGCACGTGTTGCCCAGTCTCAACTTTCAAGTATTGGCCAGTCGTCTTTCGACGGATTCCCGATTCAGTCGTTTGGGCGGGCTGCTGAAAGCGACGAGGTTACCGTGGGCCGTTGTGGGCGACTTCAACATGTCTCCCGCCGTGCTCCAGGCCTCGCTGTTCGGCCAGCAGCTCGACGCCGTCATTCGTACGGCGCCTGGTGGCTGCACATGTGCGCAGAAAAAAAGCCCCGACTCTTTGATTGCCTACATGTTGTGCTCACAGTCAGCCATCCTTTTTGACAAGGACCTTTGTCAAGTAAAGACCGTGGCTTGGAAGCCACACGTAGGCTTGCGCATTGCCTTCAGGAGCTCGGGCCTTCAGCTCATCACGAGGGCCCTTGAGCTCCCCGCGAGGCTCCCCCAGCTCCCTCGGCCTCGCTCCTCCCCCACCCCTGGCTCCAAGAGTAGCCTTGCACGTGCGAAGCGTCAAGTGGCCCGGCAAGAGGCCACCCAGAAGCGTGACAAGTTTCTGATTTCCGTCTTTGGGGATTGTGTTCAATCCGAATCTCAACCAGAGGGCTCCCACGGCGACAGCACGGCCGAAGGTGAGCCCCCCTCTTTCTCTGAGCTTAATCTTAATGAGTGGCCAGACGATCCTGGCCCGTGGGAAGATGAGCCTAATTTCTCCTGCGAGGCGGCTCTCGCCTCGGCTCCTCCCCCTCCCCCCCTGCCCCCTGCTGGTGACCCCGCCCCCGCGCCCAGGTCTGGAGCTGCAGCTGGTGCCGCCGATCAGGCTGCCCCTCTGTGTTCGGATAATGGCGCCGGCAAGCGCATGTCCCCAATCAGCCCTCGCCCCAATCCGAGCCAGCCCCCCCGTTATCCAAATTCCAGTCAGCAGAAAGTTTCAAGGAACACCCGAGAGCCTGAGCCTGATTGCACTGGCCCTGGAGCCCCCTCCCCAGAGCCCTCCTTTAAGGTTCCCCAGGAACTGTGGAGCAAGACGAGGTCTGAGGTTGGGTTCGCTTCGGGGACCAGTTGTTTAGAATGTGTCACTCCTCCGTTACTCAAGTCCGTTGCATTTAGGCTCAAAGAAAAACGCGCAGCTTCAATTTCAGGATTATACGCCGCGTGGGCCACCACCGTCGAGAGAGCTATCTCCGCACGCCACCAGGAGTGTGCACCTCGTGTCGCGCGCGCCCATGGTCCGCAGTTCCGTGTGCGACGAGTGCGAGAGACAGCTCATCGGCGGCAGCTGCACCTCAGAGACATGCGAGCGCAGTGGTGGACGAGGCTAGCCACGGTGATAGCAGGCATCAGTCGCCACGTCGAGCGCGGCAATGGCACCCGACAGCTTCAAGACTACCGATGGGGCAGGCTACAAGATGATTGGTGACATACCCGAGGGCGTGCACGCAGTCCTGCGCGAAGGACGTGACCCCCCGTGGGAGAGATGGCTCGACCTACTTCGGGGAGGAGCCACGACCTCAGCGGTGGTTCCTGGGTCATGGGTTCGATGCGCACAACGGGTGGCAGCGCGAGCCCAGAGAATTGCCATACAATTTTCCATGTCAGAGCTTCGTGAATGGATGCAGGAGCCATCGTCGACAGGCATCCTGCACAAGGCTCTGAAGAAGCAGCCACTGCCGCAGATTGAAGTGACAACGGGTCCCCATGCCATTTACCATCCCATTGACATCATGGACGAGAAGGTAAAGCAGTTCAAACAACTTTGGGCGCCAAAACCCATCAATTATTCCGACACGTGTGATTTGTTCAATCGTATTAGGGCTGGCTGAGGCCGTTGAAGGCCACTGGAGCCCATTGATGGAGCGAGCATCGTCAAGGCGTGCAGGAGGATGAAGGCGAGAGCGGGTACAGGAGTTGATGGGTTCACTCCAGTTGATTTTGAACGCCTGCCTCCAGCAGGTATCGCGGAGATGGCGTTGATCCTGGAGGCGATTGAGGCCACGCTCACGTGGCCAGTACAGATTAGTCTAATCTTGGCTAAGCTCACGCCGAAAAAGACTTCGTGCGACCGTGCGATAGGGTTGGTATCAATGATAGGACGAGTATGGTCAATGATTCGAGAAGAAGAGATCCACGTTTGGAGTAAAGAGCAGATGACGTTTTGGGACGCTGCGGTGAAAGGCAACTCCTGCCTCCAGGAGGCCTTCTTGAGATCCATAGACGAAGAAGTTGCTCACAATTTCCAGATGCAACTCGCCCACGCGATGTCAGATATTGAGGCCATTTACGACTCCATTCCATGGCAGCCCCATGTGGAGGCAGCATTACGACTCAATTTTCCGCCTGTGGTGCTGTATCTTGAACTGGTTCAATGTATCGCTCCACGGACTTTCGAACAAATGGGTGCAGCAACTGAGGCACTCGAACCAAGTCAGAGTGTGGTGCAGGGGTTGAGAGCTGGCACGCGGTTTGCCAAAACCCTCGCCCACTTTGTCATGGCCCATGTCACGACAATGCACCCTCCGATGGGGCACAGGTTGTGGATCGACGACCTATCCCAAACTACGAGAGGTTCCCGACAGGCTATTCGTACAGAGATGTTCGACTGCATCACCACCACATATGAACAATTGAAGCTCAGGCAATTGAAGGTCGCGGCCAAGTCAACGATCATGTGCACGAACATCCAGGACACGAGCACCATTGTTCAGGCGCTACGCCGACGAGGGCTCCAGATCAAAGGTGTGAAGCAAGCTACGTATCTCGGCATCGACTTTGGCTGTGGCAGACTGGCAAGGTCGATCCGTAGGATTCGGGACAACAAACACAAGTTGATGTCAACAAAAATCAGGAAGTTTACCACTGCCTCTCGGCAGTATCAGATCACCTCCAAGCTCCAGAAGCAAGGAGGATTGCCTGCGGGCCTCTATGGCCACCAGGTCCAAGGGGTCTTCGGGCAGCAGTTGGTCCAGGCGAGGCGGGGGCTGGCCCAGGCATGATCCAGTGGCAACAAGGGCAGGTGTCTCACCACGATCCTGGACCTCAAGGCACCCAAGGCGGACCCAGCCATCAGGATGGTGACCCAGGGTGCCAACCTCTGGCTCAAGACGTGGCGAGATCATTCTCATATACGTGAAGGAATACGTCGCATTTGGCCCAAAGTGGTAGCACGACTTCAGGACGCCGAGACCTCCAACCAAGTCCGACTGGTGAGAGGGCCGGTGTCAGCGGTCGTCCTGAACCTGTTGCGCGTGGGATGGCACCCCACATCGCCT